ATGTACATACAGATATGATGCATACATACATACATAGAATATATATATAATATATAGAATATATATAGAATAAATACACCACATGCATATAGAAATTAGTTATGATACACTGATGTTATGATAATATACTGCAGAAATTTGCTTTGCCGTAAATTTTATTCAGTGCATTGGGTTTTATGGGCCGTTTCAAGGGCACAAAATGCATATTTGCGCTTATTATTATTGTTTTAAAACTTTTTGAGCCTACCCGATACATATTTATATCACACGCACCTGTAAAGCCAAAAAAAAAAAAAAAAACAAAATTTAAAACCGAAACTTAAACAGCGTATATTGCTTCAGGGACTACCATGCAAATTAGGAATTTAGTAAAAGCCAGCAATGTTGGCCGCATAAAAATTAGTTTTTGAAAATATCTTGTATTTTAAGAATTAGTAGTCTATTGAGCTTTTTACTAATCTTTACCTATTTTCGTCGCAAAATATCAAAAATTAGATTTTGTTGCCGCGCTTTCAACTCTTATGTGTATTATTATGTTTTGCATGAACAATCACTCTACAGATGTCATTTACTGATGTAAGATGATGATGGTCAAAGCAAAATGAGAAAAGGAGAAAGAGATGGGGAGATGATGGCCGTAAAGGATATGCCTTTTGCCGAAGTCAAATCTAGCACGCTTGAGATTTAAGCCCATGAATACTAAATGTTAGTTGCGATAATTACCCGCTCGGGCACTCATGGACGCGGACATTTCCGAAATATAAATCCATGTCCATCCATCCAGATTTAGCAAAATAAATTGATACATTAAACCACTATCTTGGCTGACTTTTCATCACAAACCGTTGCAGATTAAAAACTACTTTTAATTTATATTTTTTGACTTCTTTTAAGCACGCTTACGCTGCAGGCAGTTCAAAAGATGGTCCCATACCGTGCGCATTGTTCACATGCAATTAATTTATTAAAATACGTGTACTATTTTTCACTGGTTTTTCTTTGAGAAATATGAAAAAAGAGAAATTTCGTCTCACGAAGCGATTTTTTAAAAACAGAATATTAAGCGAACGAATCATTTTGGAAATGGCCACATCCAATCCACTTTTTATCGGTTATGTTCTTAGTCCAAGCTTTATTGGGATATGCAATGTTATTAGTATGTCTGGAAAAGTGCAATGCATAAATTTGGCCTTTGGACGGACGGACAAATCGGTTTATAAACATTTAATAAAAGCCATATAATCTGTCGAATTCCATTTCATAGTGCACATGAATACATGCGAGATTTGAAGTCAATCTCTTAAATCATTCGTACAAGCCCTATAACGTAAGCTGGCGATGCCGATTTTTCTTCTTATCTTAAATCGTACAGTACTTAAATTCTCGTAGGAAATAGAGAGTTTAAAAGAAAAATTCGCTGTAATAGGTAAGCAATCAGAGGAAATTGATTGCTTAGGAAAACCGTATATAAGTATAAGTAAATATCTCTGTCTCAACAAATACCGCATAAATCTTTAGTAAACGAAGGACATAGTTATTGCATAGTGGTAGACGCTTCCAACGCTTCCAACGCTCCCAAAATGAAGGAGAATTCCACTTGTAAATGATTGCGAGTCAAATTGTGTGAAGAATGCCTTCAACTTTCCGGAAAGATTTATAATGAGGTCATGATGACGCCGGTTGTTTATCAATATCATCCATTTATTCCGAGAATGGACATCTTAGACTATAGGAAGACTGTAGCCGTAATACAAAGCAATTGGTTTTTTGAATTCTGCGCCGCCTTAAAAGCAATACACATACATCAATACACTTTCAATACACTTTCATTGGTCGCGTTTGAAGATTTTTACTCTTAATTTAATCCGAACATGAATTTCTTGATGTTGGGTCGCATACGTTACTATCTAAATTGCACTTAACGAAAAGCAACATTTTTGCTACTCACAGGATTCGAGTCGACTGTAAAAAAAGGACATCTCAGGCTATCTCAACAGATTAAGACGTGCTTTTCTCAACATAAGCTCTTTGCAGAAATTATACAAAAAAAGAAAAATTTATTATAATAATAAAACTGATCGCCTCGTATCAAACTGCGTTTTTAATAAACCGATTGCAGGGAGACTTTTAGTTTTTTCACTTTCATTTTTTCTCTTATGAGTATATCTCACTTATTGGAAATGCTGACGAACTCGAAGTAGCGCTAACTGCTGAGAGCCGGCGTTTGCGGCAATATAATAAAATGTTTGGACGAATTATAAAACACTGTTGCAAGACCAAATCGAGCCGTTAAAGCGCATGAGAAAAACTGAAGCAAACGTGGAGACATAACCTCAAAAATGTTAAAGGAATGTGAAGACCGGCGCTAAAAATGAAAAAACGTTGTAGTTAAAACTTACTATTTGTACCGACGTCTGCGGGCACATCTCACAACAAGCTTAAGAACAACTTAAATGCAAAATACTTGCGAATGATAACAATTTGGATCAACTCAATAGATTCCATTCTGTATCCGTGGACTTTCTATGAACCTAAGCAAAAGTCATGAAATCTTTGGTCATAAGGATCATCTAAGTGGCTTATAAGAAACTGACAAATTTGTTACTTCAATTGTCTTATGACGTCCGGAATAGCCCAATAGCACAAATAAGTTGACAACAATAGCATATGTTGGATGCGTTAAAGCATACCAATTAAGTTACAATGACTATCCCTGGAAAACCATGTGAAACCTTGACAATCGATACCTTTCCAATACCATCAGATACGTATCTTGATTTTCTTCGAGCGCCATTCAGCGGTAATGATTGCTATAGATCCTCTTGTACAAATATACGAATGTTTAAAAGTAGATATTCTAAAGCAGTTGCTCGATTCGTTAGCCTGTCGAAGTTGATTGACATCTTAAGTTTGAGCCAAATTGACAGACAAAAGCGAGCGTCTTTTTAAAATCGTTCGGACGTATATTTTCACTTGCACGCAGCACAGCTTTTTGCGACTTTAGAAATGAAACTTCGTCAAAAGTTCATACATGTTGCGCGGATCTCGATGAATACCTTTTGGAAACTTTGCTTGCTATGCAGTGTTGCATATATGTAAGACATGCATGCGCAGAGGGGAATACTTACGAATGCAGGTTTCGAAAGGTTAACTGGATGGACGAAGTCGAAGAGCTTGGAATACAGCAACTTGGTTAGGAAGACGACAACAGGCAAACAGATTAGAAAATCTACTACAAAGGCTCGCAAAAAGCAAAAAGCAAAGCAACTATTGCGGGTTGGTGTGCAAGTTAAATTCAAATTAAGACAACGTATGCTTGCCGGTTAGTTAAAAATTGCAATTGATAATATCTTCGGCAATAGGAATTACGATCGAGATGAGCGTAAACGTGAGTGTTATCGTTCTCTGTTAACTCACTTGATATAGCTGTCATGGGAATCTTGTGAATACGACTAACACCGATCACTGATTTTAAACGGTATTCTAATTAAGACACGTGCTCGTGAATTATCACCAAATCGGGAACAAAAAAAAATTAACGACTTATTCACTTTGAAAGATACGTGCACCGTACCTTGTTTCGTTGTTCTCATGGCGCGAATAAAAGAAAAATGACAGGACCGATAACTATATATGAATGAAAACTTTGGCATTACTAACGCAATAACAAAGCATAACGAATTCCATGACGAAAATAAACACCAATGTCGAATGTTTTTCAGTTTGAGTAAAGGACTATATACGCACAACAACAAATTCGTGCAACGTCTATATTTAAAGCCAATGAGCCTCGACAAATTTCAATTATTTACCGTAACGAATACGCTTCCCATAGGAACAATACGGAAAGCAGAAAGTAAGCCGCACGTACACGTACATACATAAATAATATGAATGCGCACAAATAGTAAGGAGCTAGCGTGAAGGAAGTTTGCCGAAGTTTGCTGCTTATTTGGAAATATTCAAAATTTGATTTACATAATTCTCTTCTTTAGCTTTTGATGCAATGTTATATCAAAAGTACATGAATCATGTCGACGACTGCGATTACATATATATATATATATATATATATATATATACTTATATCTTATCTTTTTGAGGAACAAAACAGCGAACGGAGAACGAGAAAAGAGTACTTATTCCAAGATGGTGGTGATGGTGGTAAGCACACAAGTCAAAATTAACATTTCTGAATGCTTGCTCGCTTAATCAACTAATAGTGATCATTAATCAATCAATCAATCAATCAATCAATCATATCTTATTAGGAGATGCATTGAAGTGCATGCAACTATAATTGCGAGCGAGCTCTAAAGCAAGCAATAAGCAAGCATTTCTTCTATCCTGATCGTTTTTAATCGAAGACAGTTCTCTTTAACGTTCGGGCGCAAGCAATAATAATTTTCACAATTTGCTGCCGTTCAATCGTTAAAACGTCGTTATGCCTTGAACTGATCATTGATTTGCATCAACAGCATGCATATGAATCAATCAGAATATGAATGTATGAATGTATGAATGAATGAATGAATGAATGAATGAATGAATGATTCAATTTACATATGGATGCGTTTTATTTAAATATAATTTCAAAATCTATTTCTATACTCGTACGTATATAGATTTGATTTCCTCTTAGAATTAATTAAATAATAACGTAAACATTGCACGGCTTAAAGCTAAAAGAATGAAATGTCTAATCGTACTATTTTTAATATCACAAAATGTATACATAGATTATAAATTATGACTCGATCGAACGACGTAATCGTTTCGTGCATGAACATGAAAGTTTATACTTCTCTATAATATAATAATGAAAAATTGACTTCTCTCTTTAGTGCTCGTTGAGTGGTGCAGTGCTATTTAACAACTTGTTTATACATTTATTTGGGAGTTAGTTTTTCCCTTTACGTGTTCTCGCAAATTATCCAAATCCGTTTTGCTTCGAGTTATTATTATTATTATATTTAAAAATAACTAAAGTCGGACTTGTGTCATTTGGTGAATGTGGTGTTGCGCGTTGAATTTAAGCGACCATTATGACTTGCGGTGCAATTGTGCGATGATGCACCGGCTGGTGTGCTTGGGGTGGAAGAGGTTTGATCACTTTCTTTATCTTGATGGGCGGTCATATGGCGCGTAAGGTGATGCCGTTCGCGAAAGCTCTCCTGACAAACGGGACATTTGAGTTTCTCTTCGCGTTTGCGGCGATTCGGATCCGCTGACACTTCACTTTTGTGATGGGAGCGCATATGATAAACTAAATCACTGGTCATGCGAAAACTAATGTTACATTTAGCGCAAACATTTTGAGCGGTAAGGGTAAATGTTGAAGCTAATGTGGGTGGAATTAATGTCGATAAGATTGCGGCCGCGGCTGGATTTTGAACAATTCTTGGCAATTCCGGCTGAGGAACTGCTGCAAATGGATGAGCTAATCCACTTGCAGCGGGAGGAAAACTGAAGCCTGGGTAAGCCGGTAGAAAGTCTGGTGGGCTCGTTGAAGGCCCGGCAGAATGGTCGGGTATTAAAACTGGCGCCCGATATAAAAGTTGATGTTTTAATCGCTGATTGTGAAACGCTTGTACAGATTGAAATGCACCATTTGGCGGATAGTCAGGCCGGAAGTTTTGATAGCCAACCACTGAGGGTGCAGGTGAAGGCATCATATTATCAATTGAGATAATGTCGCTACTGCTGCCGCTAGCTGAACGCGGTGGTGTGGTGGCAACTGGTGGACTCATTGATGAGCAACTTAGCTGATCTGGACTTAGCGATGGCGCCGGCTCTCCGGGCGACTCTAAACGCGACGTAACTTTCGTGAATGCACTTTTCAATGGAGACGATTCCCAATTCGTTGGTGATATTACAACGGTAGGATCGTCGTAAACTCGCGGCGTCCGCACCATAATTTGCGGATAGCGTCTTAACTCTGGCCGAACATTGAACTCTTGCTTATACATTTGTGAGTAGAATTGTTCTTGCGATTGTAATTGCGCCGGCGGCACCGGCCGTTTATTTTCAGACTGGCTTTGCTTTAAACGTTCGTCGGGCATCATCAGAAAGGCCACATCAAACGATCGCTTTAATGTATTTTTAGCACAAGCGGCATTACTCGGTTTTCGCGATAACTGACTGACTGCACTGCTCTCAACACTGCTTTCATCATTTGGCGGTGTCGGTGGTGTGGTAGATATTTGTAAACCTTTTATTGGTGCGTTATCTGTTATCTGAGCTTGACTGCTCTCCATTACCATGTTCATATCATAAATTTCTTTAGCCAAATTGATTGATAAAATTCGAACGAGATTCCGTTAAGTATTTGTTCTTTAAAGTTTATTGAATGCCGCGATACTAACTTTCTAATAAGCATTCGCACATAATTCACACACAGATGCTCTCATAAGCGACAAGCTACAATTAACTTATGAGTTATCTAATAAGAAAGTTTCCGTAGGTCGTCAAAATTTAATGTGTTTTGCACTAAATGGTTCCGTCACATTTGAAATACAAGTGAAAACTGGTACGCGGCGACAATCTGTTCCTTTTTAAGTACGATTTTTTCTGGAGAGCGAATATGTTTAAATTTGTTTTTTTTTTTTTTTTGATTTTTTTTGATTTTTTTCTTTTTTGTGTTTTTTTTTTTTTTTTGTATTTATTATAAGTATGTATGTGTACGTGCAACACTATACACCCGTATAATATGACGTCCGAGGGTCTGGTTAGAATTTTGTCTATAAATTGTTGCGCACTCACACACATTCTAATAGCACTCACACATCTGTGCTGATTTAATGTATGCTGCATGGAGAGGACACCCCTTATGTTCTTGTTAGATTCTTGCTGTTGTTTTTGCTACAGTGTCGCATCTTGTTCTCTGTTAAACCATTTCATTTCTAAAAACACTGCATCTGCTTTAATTGTGGCGAACATATTTTGTTGTTTTATTGTTTGCTGCTGCTGAACAGAGATGGAGTAAGCGTTTGCCGTACGCTGGTTGGCTGAATTGCTGGAATTTACCAAAATCATACATATCCCAACAAGAGATACAGTGACAACAATTTTCTCGAAATCTTTTCAAAATCTACAAGCCTTCATTATGCACTTATACATACAAAACCCTTTATCTACCCACTCCGTTTACGATAGAATATGTACATAGAGGAAAGTCTACGTCCAGTTGAATTCGTTAGCAAGCACTTTGAGTTATATATATTAACTTTATATTTGTCAGGGAAGAAATTTTTCATATCTAAATAATTTGAATAAAAAGTATTGTGCCCGTTTCTTAAGGCTACTTTCACATTTAGAATGACTATGGAGAAGAAAGACAAAATTCTCGTTTCTTATGTGACCTCAAGCGACCATTGACTTAATGGATAAATATAATGGATTTTCCTATTAGAAGTTTGCACCATGATAACGGAAGAGATAATAAGCTCTTCCTCCTTACAATTATAACAAGAAGAATACCAGACTAAATTGAAAGGGTTCCTCGCCACTATTGCGCATGATTTAACATCTGGACTATGCCATTGCATCTAATAATGATTTAGAAATTCATGGAACCTAATTCTTTGAAGATTGTTTTCCAATACAAATGCGGCGTAGCAATCAGGCTCTTCAATTGGAGTAGAAGACCTTCTTTCTGCTCAATTCTTCGATGAAATTGCATATGCAACTATAACTCGCTTACTTCGTAAATATGAGTTATTTAGCATTTTCCGGAATTAAGTTATGCATCGTTTGCTCCCACGTAAACCTAAAACTAAAGCATTTTAAAAAATGGGAAAATATGCAAAATTTAACAAAAAAAAAAAAAAATAAATAAATAAATAAATAGTAGAAGAGGAATCTGGGCTCCCTTTCCACACCTTCCGCTCGGATTCCGCTCTGTTGCCGTGTCACGGTTTATTCACATTTTTTATACGAGTTTTTTTTCCGCTTAATAAAATTTATTTGCAAATTTTGAAGAGAGTTGCATCACTGTACAGTAAATGGAACATGTGCACAATAAAAGGACAGAAAAAATATGGTTTTAAAACAACCCTAAATAAAACGCAACATGCGCGTACCATACCGTTATGGTGTGAAGAAAAAGGCGGAGCACCATGCTTCTCTATTAAATCTGCTCTCATCAATTGCAATACAAACAGGTTGCTTGTGTCAACTTCTTTCTCATAGCATGATGGAATATAATAGATTTTCCACACTTGCACATAAACGTACACATACACATCTAGAACACATGTGGTTTTTTTTTTTTGTTGATTTTACTTATCAACGAAATATGAAATTATGCTCAATTTTTCATATGCTTCGTAACTCCGATAAAGTGCATCTTTATTTGGCCTAAGATCTCCACGTCACGTTCCACTCTGAAACTTTATGAATAAATAAAAGCTTAACTGATACGAAAGTTAATAGAAAATTCATTCATTTAGGGCAATTCATCATATCACACGCAATTGTGTAAGAAATCAACTACGGACAATGACAAAACTAACCTGGATCAAGGATCAAGATATTACAAATTCAAGTTCTATACATAAATACAGAATATATATATATATATATATATGTGAAGACTTAAGAGCGAAAAATCTTTATATTAATTGTATTTACAAATCCGATTAGAGGCCTGCAATACATATACGGGCAAGAGTTAGTTACATTTCTTATGAAAATGTACTTTAAAAATAAATTAAAAAAATGAAACGTAGCTGCTTTGAGTAGCGGGCTTCTAAAATTCGTTCTAAGGCGAGTGAAGGTGGTTCTATTTCTTTTTTTTCTTGGATTGTTTGCTTTTCCTGCTGTTTTTGTTTTTCTTCTTGTTCTTGTTGTTGTTGCTGTTGCTGTTGTTATCGTTGTTGCTATTATTGCTGTTTTCGCAAACATATGAATAATCGCTTGTGCGGTTATTTTGATTTCAATCTATGGAATTACAAGCTCATGAAAATTTAATTAACATTAACTGAAATTTACATAAATCTATTAAGAAAATCCTTTCAATATTCATGACAGTTCACTGATGTATATATTACATGGTTGTACAAGATCCAATAGAGATATAAACGTATGTGTTACGTAAATATGATTTTTTAAATTAATAATTTTCTTTGAATCTCATTGTATTTAACTTCTTTTCTTCTTTTTTCTTTCTCCTTTTCTTCTCTCATAGGAATTAAAAAGATAAATAATAATATATATATATATATATATATATATATATATAAGTATTTTGTTTAATCTTGAAATGAAATTTCTGATAACATTCTCTCTAGTCTTTCCCATCCAGCCAGCCAGAGATTCTTGTACTTTCTCATTTGTTGACCCTTCATGGTATTTACTGTTCTGACCTGGTAGCGCGCATACGCTTAGGAGTATGCAATGCGATTTTTGGTCAAGCAGTACTTTACTAAACAACTAAACAACTTGATGGAATACACGGAGATCATAGATACTTTTTCTGTAAACTTTTACTTATAGCTCGTCCAGCATTTATTTAGCAATTGTTGTGGTCAGGTGGAATATTGCGGAATCGTTTAAGAAACTCCTTAGGACACTAAGGACTTTGTTGTGCAAGACACACACATACATTTTAGATGGAAAGGCACCTATGTGCGACGCTTGCAAGTACACAAGTGCACTTGTGCCCTCCACCACTCTCGACCGGCAGTTAGAAAGTGAGAAGCAAATAGCTTCATATTGTTGCAAAATTTTTTCTTAAATAACTGTTTCTTTTTGTTTGCTTCATATTTATTTTTATTTATTTGCTTTATATTTATTTATTTATTTTTCTTACTGCTCTGCTCTTTTTTGTGCATGCATGCATGCCCTGGCATATATAACGTCTATATATCATGCCAACAGGATGTACATATTCTTTTTTGTTGTTTTTGTTTAATTTTCATGTTGTGCAAAATATGTGCGAGTTTTATTATCAGAACGTTATGCTTATGCATCCAACGCGTGTCCGACAATTTGTGTTATGGTCTCCTTTTTTTTTTTATGCCTTTTGTTTTTTTTTTTTTTTCTATTTTCATTTTTTATACTTATATATATATCTCTCTTTTTCTCTTTACATATCGTTTTCTCGCTCTTTCTCATTTTCTTTCACTCTAGCTGTTTGTCTATCGCCCATTCTTCTTCTGCCTCTCGCTGCACTCCGTTCCCTTTCCGTCCCACAACGATCCGGCCGTGCCGCACACTCCTTTCACCTATCGGTAACCACAGTATGCTGGACTTAATATGAATATGTTTATGCATATATGCACATATGTACACAGAGTATGTATAAACAACTTACAAACATATGCAGCCACAAGTGCACATATGTACATAGATATGAACACATATTCTCGCACACATAATCACACTACAACAACAGTATTAATATAAATGTTCATTTCACATTTTATTTAAATTTGTTGCATTCCTCGTGACTACTATTATATGTTTTTAGCTTTCTTCCTAATTTTTGCATATTTTCAGGTGCTAATTGTTCACCAAACATATGAGTTGAATACTAAATTACATTTTATCTTATTTGTCTCGATGGCTGCCTGTTTTTCTACATTTGCGTATTTGTGTAACTCTGCGTGTGTGTGTGTGTGTGTGTTTGTGTGTATATAGATATTTATATATATATGTGTGTGTGTGTGTGTGTTTGTGTGTGCTTTGAGTATATACATATGTAGATGTCTACAATGACCGTTTAATTTATTTTTTTTTGTTTTTTTTTTTTTTTTTTCAGCAGTGCCGCATAATTTATGTATTTACGGTGCTAGACATATATTATATTATATAATAATATGGATAATTTTTTCATCGTTAAAAGGAAGCTTTCCATGTCTGGCTTGTATGGATTGCATTAGATGCATTTTATGAAAGAAGATGATTACATTTATTTATTTCAAAAGAATCTACAAAAAAATGTAATAACGAATGGTATATTTTCCATTCGTTTCATTTATCGGAACTTCCAGGCACACGCGAACTAGTAGTTTGCAAATTTTTGTACACTTTCAAGCCCATTGATTATTATATTAAAAACGGAGCTTGCATCGGACGATTCAGCAACTCAGGGCAATATTTAATATTGAAATATTTTTCGTATTTCTTGCAATAAGTCAAGCGTCTTGTACAGTGCATCGAATATTGCTATGCAAATTTTGATATCGAATCTTTTTTTCGCGTGACGTTGAAATCCTATATGTTGAAATATGTTAAAATTTCCTTTTTTTTCAAAGCGGTT